CAGAGATACTTCTGATTGTGCTTTCCTAGATGTTTTGAAATGGATTTGAAAAAGTGTGCAGCCCAGTTTACCTTAGTTTTGGTAATGAGAGAGTTGATGATGAAGGCTCTCTCCTGGGTGATGTCATCGGCATGACCTCCACTTCCACATTCGAGGCAGGCGATGACCAGTTCCAAAACCAACTTGTAATCGTTGTTTAGATCTGTTTTCTTCGCTGGACTTGAAGGAATTTGCCCAGAGATTCCAATGATGTTCCAGTCCAGATTTTGGGCTGGAAATTTCCCGATTTCAACTCCAGAATTGGGAAGGCGAAGCTTTTCTCCTAATTTCTTCTGCGAAAGCTTCACTTTCGTACCTCCAACAGTGGACTTGATGACTGGAAACGTCCTCTGTGGGTCCTTCTTTGAATGAGCAGTCTTGACCTCTCCATTTCTGTAGAATTCCTCGAATTTGAGGCGAATCTCCATTTGAAGAAATTCGAAGAGTTCTTGAGCGGCTATCATTTCCAGATAGCTTTGAAAGAATGTTGATGACGAGCACTTGGCTTCTAACTTCTGGAAATGAATATTTGCTCCGACAACCTTCATTTTCTCAGAATTTTGAGTGAGAATCTGAAAAATCTGAAGAAATTTTAGGGTTCTTGAGAGAATTCTGAAGAAGACGACGAAAAATTTTGAATGGGCGGTTTAGATCTGAATAGTGACGATTGGGTTTTATTTGAGCGATTTATGTGGCTAAAGGCGATTGGGTTTTTGACTATTCCCAAGGCCACGTGCCTATCCACTATATTGACAGACGTGGAAAGTGGACTGCCACGTGTACCGCACTCAGTCTAATTGAATTAGACCAATTTTGTGAAGCAAATCGGAAAACTTGGCTTCACTTAGTGGTTTTGTGAAGATATCCGCCAATTGTTCTTCAGTTGAGATATACTCGATTTTGATATCTTTCTTTTGCACATGATCTCTGATGAAGTGATGTTTGACATCAATGTGCTTAGTGCGAGAATGATGCACTGGGTTTTGAGAGATGGCTATAGCACTTTGATTGTCACAAAAGATTGTCACTTCCTTTGTTTTGACTCCATAGTCTAGTAATTGTTGCTTTAGCCACAAAATCTGAGCACAACAACTACCAGCAGCAATGTACTCTACTTCTGCTATTGATGTAGAAATGGAGTTTTGTTTCTTACTCAACCAAGAAACAAGATTTCCACCAATGAATTGACAAGTACCAGATGTACTTTTCCGGTCAACTTTGCATCCGGCAAAGTCAGAATCTGAGTATCCCACTAACTCAAATGAATTGCTTATAGCATACCACAAACCCATGTTCTGAGTTCCTTTGAGATATCTAAGAATTCTCTTAGCTGCTATCAGATGACTTTCCTTTGGCTTTGACTGGAATCTGGCACAAACACCTACTGCATATGAGATATCCGGACGGCTTGCAGTAAGGTAAAGTAGAGATCCGACAATTCCTCTGTAGAGAGTTTGATCTACATCCTTTCCATCTACATCCATATCAAGCTTGGTGGATGTACTCATGGGGACAGAAACGGATG